TGGATGCAGAGGCAGCTGGCTTCCACAGAGTCCACCTCAAACAGTGACACCATGATTAAGTTTAAATGAGTTCAACAGGTTGAACATATGACTGGAAACCTAGTGAGAATACTGTCCTACACAGGATGCCCCAAAAGGGAAAGAATTAAGTTTGGCAGGGGGAGAAAACACTGGAAATTATGGCACTTCAGTTTTAGGCAGATGAAACATTTCCTCTGACACAATAAATATATACATACTTTCTAGAGAACATCTGGATTACAGAAGCAACAAAATATATGTGCATGTTTTACTGACAGTACAGCTGCATATGTTTTAAAGGAAACAAAATGCATTGCTTGAAAACTGGGACAGGAAAAAATGGCCATGTGATGTGTGAAGGGCCCAGTCACAGCAGCTTTTATAACAGCAAAAGTCCAGAATCACTTAATTTCACTCCATCAACTGAAAAGTGTTTTGACAGTGCTAACCTTTAAGGGAAGGGAGATCCAGACAGTGCATGGTCTGCACACAGCCATAATATCAACATTGATGGTAGACAGTGTTTTACATCATTGTTTAGATAGTTTGGCAAGCACTGGCACTTTTTCAGCTGATAGCATGTTAAAAATGAGCTCAGCGGTAATTCACCTTTTCAAGGATGCACAAATATATTTAGCTTTGCCTCTTTCTTGTGTGACCAAGCACTTAGGCAAACTATAGCCTATATTTCACAAAAAACTAGAGAAAATGTCCTGAAACAGTGGGTGTTTTGTAAATGTCTCCTTAAAAGTTGGAGATTTTCTAATGTGGACCCAATTTCAAAATAACATAATACTGCAGGCTAAATGTTTTGCATTTTTAATGCTCTTCTGTTTTTCAGTTAATCTTTACATGCATCTCATTATCCCAAATTATGATGTGTAGAAATACGAGTTGGGGGGTGGGGGTTGCCACTGGTTAGGGGAGAGAAATCACCTAAAGAGACAAATGATCTTTTTCTACACAGGAAGGTTCATGTCATTGGTAATGTTGTTGAAAATTAAACATTTTTGTCCCCCTCACTGTTTTACCATTTGAAACACTTTACACCATTGATCACTAGTACAGAATATCATGAACATCACTAGTTAAATTTGAAAACCTCCACTTCAAACAAGGGTGTAAGTGTGGAATTGTGTGTGTGTGTGTGTGTGTGTGTGTGTGAGGGATCACTGCAGCTAAAACTAAAACCCATTTCTGCAGTGAAGGATGAAAAGGAAAATACTGTATGTATGCAAGGCCTTGGGAGGTTGGAGGGAGTCATCACACCTCTGACAGCAAGCACAGGTCTCAGATGGGGCTGCTACTGTTCTGTTAAACATGCAGGGGACAAAAATTGTTAAAGAGAGGATATGATGGAAAACAAAGCCAAAACCAAAAAGAGACATTTGAGATGGGTCAAATTGCTAAACTCTTTCTCTGCCATGTTTTTGTGTTCTTTCAACTTTTGAATCTCTTGCCTAGTGAGCAGCTTTGAAACTGTGCTAGTTGTGATGTCACACGCAGGCTTAAATTGGATATGCGAGGATAAGCCCACCCTCTGTGCAACACTACATTGAGACCGTAGAGAGTTGAATGAAAATAGCTGTGCTAAAGCTAAGCTAGCTACTTCCAGCTATGTTTGAAAAAATGATGAAGTCTACAGTCTGCAACAGCAGGCTCCTCTCTTGCCCACTCAGGACCAGGCTCTGGTTCATGTAACTGTCATGCATTTCCAGCTGCAGTCATTACACAAGGTAAAGATCAATTGTACAAGTACTCGCATTATTCATTAGGTCCTACTCTGATTGTCTGGGGGCGAATATCATTGAGGGGCTATTAGAAAATGGGCACCAAAGTACCAAAAGCAAAAGTACTCATTATGCAGAATAGCATGTTCTAGATTAACAGATATGTTATTAGATTATAATTATTGATGCATTACTGAGTACATCACATTTAATGCTGCAGCTGGTCAAGGCAGAGTTCATTTTTACTATCTTACATGCTTATAATTTGAAGTACTGCTGGGTAATTTGTGAGCTTCATATCTGGGAACAATAAAGTCAAAGTTATATTGTCTTTTGTATAGTTATTCTGATTCTGAAAAATAACTAGTAACTAACTTACTGAGTAGAAAGTACAATGCTTGCCTTTAAAATAAAATGAAGTCCAGCTATGAAGTAGCAGAAAATAAAAATACTCAAAGTACAGATACCTCAAAGTCATACTTACTGTAAGTACAGTACTTGAGTAAATTACTTAGTTACTTTGTTACTTTCTACCACTGCTGGTCAGTGCCTAGTGTTTAGTTGTGATGTAAAGGAAGGGGCTGACGATATTCTACAAATCTTTTCTAACAAATGTAAGGAAATGATTATATCCAACAATGAACTGATTGTACTAAATACAAGTCTAATACAGCCTTATATATCCCCATATGTATTAATCAGCACTGAAAATGCACTATTTCCTCCTGTTTGAAAGAAAATTTGCTTGAGACAGTGGTGCCTAGCTGATTTAGGAAATGGACTAAAAATATTAATGGTAATGAGAGCCCTGTGATAGAATGGCAACCTGTCCAGGGTGTATCCCACCTCTCGCCCAGTGTCAGCTGGGATTGGCTCCAGTACACACCCGATCCTAACCCTTTACTGACAGTACAGCTGCATATGTTTTAAAGGAAACAAAATGCATTGCTTGAAAACTGGGACAGGAAAAAATGGCCATGTGATGTGTGAAGGGCCCAGTCACAGCAGCTTTTATAACAGCAAAAGTCCAGAATCACTTAATTTCACTCCATCAACTGAAAAGTGTTTTGACAGTGCTAACCTTTAAGGGAAGGGAGATCCAGACAGTGCATGGTCTGCACACAGCCATAATATCAACATTGATGGTAGACAGTGTTTTACATCATTGTTTAGATAGTTTGGCAAGCACTGGCACTTTTTCAGCTGATAGCATGTTAAAAATGAGCTCAGCGGTAATTCACCTTTTCAAGGATGCACAAATATATTTAGCTTTGCCTCTTTCTTGTGTGACCAAGCACTTAGGCAAACTATAGCCTATATTTCACAAAAAACTAGAGAAAATGTCCTGAAACAGTGGGTGTTTTGTAAATGTCTCCTTAAAAGTTGGAGATTTTCTAATGTGGACCCAATTTCAAAATAACATAATACTGCAGGCTAAATGTTTTGCATTTTGAATGCTCTTCTGTTTTTCAGTTAATCTTTACATGCATCTCATTATCCCAAATTATGATGTGTAGAAATACGAGTTGGGGGGTGGGGGTTGCCACTGGTTAGGGGAGAGAAATCACCTAAAGAGACAAATGATCTTTTTCTACACAGGAAGGTTCATGTCATTGGTAATGTTGTTGAAAATTAAACATTTTTGTCCCCCTCACTGTTTTACCATTTGAAACACTTTACACCATTGATCACTAGTACAGAATATCATGAACATCACTAGTTAAATTTGAAAACCTCCACTTCAAACAAGGGTGTAAGTGTGGAATTGTGTGTGTGTGTGTGTGTGTGTGTGTGTGAGGGATCACTGCAGCTAAAACTAAAACCCATTTCTGCAGTGAAGGATGAAAAGGAAAATACTGTATGTATGCAAGGCCTTGGGAGGTTGGAGGGAGTCATCACACCTCTGACAGCAAGCACAGGTCTCAGATGGGGCTGCTACTGTTCTGTTAAACATGCAGGGGACAAAAATTGTTAAAGAGAGGATATGATGGAAAACAAAGCCAAAACCAAAAAGAGACATTTGAGATGGGTCAAATTGCTAAACTCTTTCTCTGCCATGTTTTTGTGTTCTTTCAACTTTTGAATCTCTTGCCTAGTGAGCAGCTTTGAAACTGTGCTAGTTGTGATGTCACACGCAGGCTTAAATTGGATATGCGAGGATAAGCCCACCCTCTGTGCAACACTACATTGAGACCGTAGAGAGTTGAATGAAAATAGCTGTGCTAAAGCTAAGCTAGCTACTTCCAGCTATGTTTGAAAAAATGATGAAGTCTACAGTCTGCAACAGCAGGCTCCTCTCTTGCCCACTCAGGACCAGGCTCTGGTTCATGTAACTGTCATGCATTTCCAGCTGCAGTCATTACACAAGGTAAAGATCAATTGTACAAGTACTCGCATTATTCATTAGGTCCTACTCTGATTGTCTGGGGGCGAATATCATTGAGGGGCTATTAGAAAATGGGCACCAAAGTACCAAAAGCAAAAGTACTCATTATGCAGAATAGCATGTTCTAGATTAACAGATATGTTATTAGATTATAATTATTGATGCATTACTGAGTACATCACATTTAATGCTGCAGCTGGTCAAGGCAGAGTTCATTTTTACTATCTTACATGCTTATAATTTGAAGTACTGCTGGGTAATTTGTGAGCTTCATATCTGGGAACAATAAAGTCAAAGTTATATTGTCTTTTGTATAGTTATTCTGATTCTGAAAAATAACTAGTAACTAACTTACTGAGTAGAAAGTACAATGCTTGCCTTTAAAATAAAATGAAGTCCAGCTATGAAGTAGCAGAAAATAAAAATACTCAAAGTACAGATACCTCAAAGTCATACTTACTGTAAGTACAGTACTTGAGTAAATTACTTAGTTACTTTGTTACTTTCTACCACTGCTGGTCAGTGCCTAGTGTTTAGTTGTGATGTAAAGGAAGGGGCTGACGATATTCTACAAATCTTTTCTAACAAATGTAAGGAAATGATTATATCCAACAATGAACTGATTGTACTAAATACAAGTCTAATACAGCCTTATATATCCCCATATGTATTAATCAGCACTGAAAATGCACTATTTCCTCCTGTTTGAAAGAAAATTTGCTTGAGACAGTGGTGCCTAGCTGATTTAGGAAATGGACTAAAAATATTAATGGTAATGAGAGCCCTGTGATAGAATGGCAACCTGTCCAGGGTGTATCCCACCTCTCGCCCAGTGTCAGCTGGGATCGAGAGGGAAAATCTGACAATGCTGCATGGCTTTGGTGTTTTCATACAATTTTTCTATACATATAGCCAAACGTCCTTGAAGTTTGCCAGAGGAGTAGGGCTGAGTATTGCCAGAAGGTAAATGAATGATTCAGTTTCTTAAGTCCATTTTTAGATTAATGTGATATTAGTCGATTAACAAGAGAGACAAAACATGTTGAAACAAATGCCACCTTTAGTTTCAGCACATTTAACATGTGTAGTTCTTGTTCATGACAAAACATAATAATGTAAATACGCTTGCAAAACATAACTTGAAGGGCTGAACATTCAGTGTTTTCCATTTTCATTGGCATATAAATGGAACACATTAGCATTAGTTGATTTTGGAGCAGTGTGACAGTGACTGGGGACTGGTACTACTACATGCTACAGGATTTGTCTTGTTAGATGCAATACATTACTGTATCGCTACCGTCTTTGGTGAAATTTAGCCACACATTTGAGCAATAACTCTTATGTGCCACACTGTAAACACTCTACATGGGAGTTCATACAGGCAGTGTTGGTGGAAGATCAGAAGAAATGTCCATGAAGTAGAATCTAAAAACATGTTTTTTACAAACCTCCAGCCTTAACAAACCTTGAAGAAGTGTTAGACTGACAAAAAATGTAGCAGCTTCTTATGGTTCACTAGAGGAAAACACACACACACACACACACACACACACACACACACACATACACACACACACACACACACACACATATGTAGCACTAGCTTGAGGCTTCAAATTTACAAATTATTTTATGGGGGGATATTTCTCGTGCGATTCTCATTATATTATATATCATGCTAAGAATGTAAAACCAAAAGGGTTATTCTGTTTTTTTTTTTCACTTGTAACAACATAAAGGAAAACAAAAAGAATCAACTGAGAAGCCCAGTAAAAATCTGGACTAGACCAACAGTGAGAACTCAAAAGTTGTTTTAAACCCTGTTGCTGATACTGTACATAACCAATCTGTTGCATAGAGCTTGTTGTTGAGTCTGCTGTTCCTCTGCAGATGATACTCATTCAACCCTGTAATGTAACTTGCTGTAGTGGTGCATGTGAGGAAATGACAGCTCCACATACACACCTCTGTGTTCTCAATCCATGCTTGTCTTTCAGAATGAACTTACAACTGAAAACAAACCCTCTAAAACATAATTTTCAAAAAGATAAGGAATGACATGAAGTTGCATCATCTGTTGGAGTTCATCATATGTTTCAAATGTAAGATCTCTACTGGTGGTGTCTGTATTTGTGTATATGTGTGAGATCAGATGACATAGCAGCATACAAGAACTCAGAGGACTGAGGGATTCTGCTTCCAGATGGCTGTGAATGAGCTGAGCACTGCCGTGGTAAATCAACCAGCCTGAGGTGGGAGGCCACAAAGGACATGTACAAAAAAATCACAAAGTTATTATGATAAGGATATATTTATATATGTATACATACAGTACTTCCATATATTAAAAAGCATAATATGAATTATACAAAGAAATAATAAAAGTTCACAGTAGCAGTTGTTACACCATCTTGGGTATTCTAACATGGGTGTCACTCACTAACAAGAGGGAGAGTGACAATAAAACAAGGAAAAATTAACAAAAACAAAAAGGAAAGAAGGTTTAGAAAACCAGAACTACTTGTCTGTGGCATCAGGTTCCAAGAACCTGGTTTTTGGGATAAATGATTAGTGATATGAGTACTATAGATGAGCAGGGTGGAGGAGGTTTCACTGTGCTGAAGTAATTTGTTACTGAGGCTTAAGGTTCTTGCTTTCCTCCATCCACTGCCTTAAATTAACTGATTGGTGGTAGGCAGAACAATGTCCTTCACAGAAGCAGTTGGTTTTATAAAGGCAGAAACTGTGGTATGTCAAAAAAAATAAATTAAATTAAATTCAGAGCTTGAGTGTAAAAAGCCAAGTGAGTCAGCTTTAGTATAGGCAGTAACACTGACATTACAGTATATAGTGCAAACAAGAAAAGACAAAAGTGTTTCTCGTTGCCTAGGACACCGTTGTGAAACTGAAAAACACAGGTGCAAACCCCTCAGTAGGAGAACTTTAAGACATAAAATGGCGAAAAAATAAATATCAAAAACTTTTTATCAGTGTAAAAAAGTAATCAGGTTATTCATTTTAACCAGGAGTCTGGCAAAAAAGGCCTCAAAGTCTTGTCCACAATAGTTCCATTTTACAAAGTTAAGTGCCTCCTTTGTGGGTTCAGGAACCTCAGGGAGTGTTTGGATCCACAGGACACTCTCAGCTCAGCTCCAGGCCCCCAAAGGGCCTCTCTCACACCAACAACTTCAGACTTTCTGCCGGATCGGACTGGTCAGACATGGACACCATGGTCCCATTAATGTCCCTGGCCAGATGAGCCGATCTGTTCTCCTTGGTGCTGACAAGGCTGAGCAGAGCATTGTATAGGTACTGATAATGGTCCTGTGGACCCATCAGAGACAGGCAGGGACAAAGACAGACAGAGAAAAGAAAGACAGCAAGTGAGAACAACAAACCACACCCTATAATTAGAGCATAGTTGAATAGGTTTACTAGATGAGAACTTACAACTGACACGTCTTCATACTCAAACTATTACTTCATTGTACTAAGCCTACTTCTCTAACTAGGGCTTGTTAACAGATAGAAAATACTTCTGGATATCACATACATTGCAATTTTCAGACTCACAATGTCTGTGAAGACTCCTGGCCTCATGAGGTTGATCATCTTGGTCACTTGATCGACTGCACCCTCACTCTCCAGCTGTTCAGATAGAGTGGTGAGGGCATACAGCATGCCAGCCGACGCTGACCCCAACCTGACAACCACACACACAGTGTCTGCAGTTAGTAGGCTTCTCAAAAATGATACCAGTCCCAAGTGTCTTCAAGCTTTTATTGCATGTTTCTCCTCCACGTATTCATCATTATACCATGAACTGTGCTGTTTTCATAGGTGTAGTAGTCAGGGCCCTGCAAACGTACTGCTTGTCTTGAAGTTGGCACAAGAGCAAAGGTCACAATTAAATGTTATTTCTGTATGCGGTTCACATTTTGGTTCCGGGGTGTTATCAAAAAGGAAATTTGAAAATTACAAAATCAAAAACTATACTCACTGTAGCTACATGCCATGATATCTACAGGTACTATTTTATATTTATTTATTCTGGTTTGTTTATATTCAGCATGTGGTACCATGTTTCCTGTGTTCTCTATAGGCTATAAATGATCCAGTGTTGTAGTACAGAATCTTCTCATAAACATCGTGGCTCACATTTTTATAAATGCCAGGCCACTGAAGGTTTATTACAGTACCTTTGTCATCTACTGTTTTCTTGGTTCTCATTTTGAAATCAAAATGCAAAATAAAGACTATCATGCACCACTTTTCAAAGCAAGATGCAAATTTTTGGCCATGTTCATTTTCACCTGTTGTACAATGTTTTACTGCAGCAGCACCATGCTTATGGTGTACCTCAGCTCCCATGTTGGAAAAGTGGATCTCATTTGAGGCCAGCAAATATACCGAAAACAACTAAGAGCAGCAGGTTTAGCAACCCTGAACTGTGAGCTGACCATCCCTGACATGGAAAATTGTTCAGAGGTAGTTCAGTCAACTCTGAGTACGAGCAATCAGAGTTCAGTGCACGTGTGATGAATATAAAAAGCTATCATCAATGGAGCTGTGATACTATGATTCACCATGGCAACATGCAAAGAGCAGAGTCACCATTTTAAACTAGTGGTGCTAGAAATACTAGTGTGATAATGCACATTTTTCATAGAAAATACACAGCAGGAGCTGTGAGAGAAACTGAATTGGAGAACAGAATCAAAACACTTTTTAAACATTTTATTCAGTGTAGTCCACTCATTAATTTGTTCAGGGGACTTGGATTTCTTTAACGGATGGTAAAGGCCTGGATTCCTACTATTTGTTACAATTATGAATTAAGTATCTTGCTGGTGGCAGCATAAGGTGAATTGCAGTGATTTGCAAGAGAAACATCAAGGCTGAAACAAGTGTACAGTTTTTAGACATTTTTAAAAACCTTGCTCAATTGCATTTAATAAACATATTTAAACATATCATGAATTTAAATAGTCATTCAAATGCTGTTAATTTAATAGATTATAGGCAAATTCATAAACTACATTTAAACTGCATTTAGTACAGTTTGGTGATGTCTTTAAAGTCTTTAAAACTGCACTACAATCTTTCTCACTCAGAAATAATCTTCAGTATTGTCGATAACTATGATGAAAATCTTCCATTGCGACCAATAAACAGCATAAGAAATGATGATTCACGGATCAATGTCACATTTGGCTAAAGCTTCACACTGGTTTGTGTTATTTATGCAGTGATTACAGTAATGTTCAGCACAATATGTTTCAGTGCGGGGAACCGACTGACAGCCTGACAGCTGTCTTCGGGTCCACAGAGTCACAGTGTTAGAGAGACGGACAGTGTTATTCTGAGTTAAGGATGAATCCACACTGTATAACAGGCTACCAATATTTAAATGTATAGAGAGAGAGCTCACTGTCTTTACACTGCTGATGATAAAAACAATGAGTTTAGTACAGATAGGTCTTCAATAACAAACTATTAGGCTACTCTCTAACCAAGATTTTTATCCTCTTTACCCAATGTAAGCTTATGAAAATTAATATGTTCCAACCTGCACTCCAGTATGAACCATATGAATGAGGACCTGAAACAGTGACAGCTTCTCCAGACTATACAGAAGGGAGGAGACAGAGAAACTCAGGGTTTGTTGAAGAAAACCTGCCATTTTCTGCAATAACCGACTGACAGTTCACGTGATCTCTGCTTCTGGGCCTCATAACTTAGTTTCTCTCAATTCAGGGTGAACAACACAAAGTTTTCACTAAACCAGTTTTCTGAAATAGCTCTGTATGTGTACAGTATATACTATTACTGTTTCATTAGCCCACATTTTTTATAAAGCTTTCAACTTACATTTAAGGAAAAAAGCTATTTTCTCACCATGCTGGTTCTCTGTCTCCCAGGTGTCTAATGAGCTCACTGAGTTATGCTCACAGCATGCCGAGTATGTCATACTTTGTTGTCACTGCAGCATATACAGCTGAGCTCTACTACCTACCCTCTACTACTGGGGTCATGGCCCTCCTTGTGTCAGACTATTTTTTAACGTTGTGAAACCAACAACCTGACATTCACACCCACTTCATGTTGTCATTGGTCAGCTTTCTGGAACATGAAAGTTTAGCTTTATTTTTGATTTGGGTGTGCAAACTTTGAGCATAGCCTGATGCCAGGACCTACAGTAGAGCTGGCATTTGAAGCATTTTACTTCCTATGAATGGTTTTTCACCAAAGGTCTGATATAAATGTTGCATTTTACTCATTTGTTTTCTTCAGACTGAAACCTGCTAGAAATTAAATCCTCTGACTGCATTTGAGTTGTGTCAGCCAGGGAGGAAAGACCCTTACATATCGGGAATGTCACCTCTGAGATCAAAGATTTATTAGCAAAGGCAGCCACCTGAGGATGACAGCTCAACCCAGTGTGAGGCTCCCTGGAGAACACCGGGTCGCCTTCACAATGTAAAAGGTCTCCTCTTCCATTAGCAGCCCTGTCAGGAGTGCGGCAGAAACTGCTGCTAACAACCCATGCCTGGCTGAGTAATGAGTCCACAGACAATTAGGACAAAGCTCTAGCTGACAATCTCTTAGGTGCTGCAAGCTGGCTGTGTCACAGCAACCAGATGAAGTGCTCAATTAGTCACTTTCCTTCTCGAGGATGCGACAAGCAATCTTCATTATTCGAATGAATAAACATGAGCAGAGCTGCTGAATTAGTGTGTTACTCAAGAACACTAATGTGTGTCAATATTAAAGACACTTTGGTTAAATTTAATTGGGCAGATTGCTGGAGTACCTGTGGTGGGGTAGTCAGGGGCTTGGAGGGGCTGTCATTTGTTGGAATAAAATGGCTGTTTAGAGGTAAAACAGGATGTGCCTTTCCTCACTTTACCTACGTACATGGAAGTTTTGTGTTCACATACCACTACATACAGTACAGTATATTACCCTGGGTGAGGACACTATGCAACAGTTTCATAACGAGGATAATACATTATAATCTGACACATCATAATGAGCAGTATCTATTTAGAACTGTACTGTTGTGTAACGGAGCACAGAATAGGAGTAAAACAAACATCACACTGACTCATTGTGGATGATGGTTGCTCCATCATGACGGACTGCCTCCTCTTTAATGATGTTGATGAGCTCAAAGGTGCTGTCGATGGGCGCGTCCGGGTTTGGCCACTTGGGGCAATGAAAGTGACGAACCTCTAAAACATAATCATCCTAGATGTCAGACAGAAAAAAGATGGTGAGAGAAGGGTTAGATGATGGATATTTGGTTTATAGCTGTTATATTCAACTCATCCATGTGATTTGAGCAGTGACCAAAACAATGAAACTCTTATCTCTATTTCTGATAGGGCTGTGGTCAGTATTGGTAAAAAATCAAAATGTTTCAACAAAACTATGACCCTTTTTCCATTAACTTTTTACAACTTCCCACTGGGAGGTTTTTTGGGCACGACCAACTGGTCGGAGGCCTTGGGGTGGACCCAGATCAAGTTGGAGGAACATGCCTTCACTCTGTTTTGACTTTATTTTATATTTACTGAGCTCAGTTATCTTCAAGCTGGCTGATGAGGACTGGATTTTGCTCTTGTTTTTGGTGCTTTATGAATACATTTGACTTTCAGGGTGGACAGCAAAGTAAGAATTTCATTGTCCAGGGAAACATGTGTCCATACTGCGTATTTGACAATAAACACTTTGAATTTGAATTTCTTTTTCCCCCTGCTGTGGGGGACACACATTTCCTGATTCCAGTAGAGTCTTCCTCAGTCCTCTTTGTTGTTCTCCGACACCCATCCTATCCTGTGGACCCATGTCTAGATTTTGTACCCCCTGCATTTAACTTGCCTGTGTTTTCTCATCTGCCCTCTGCCTCCTGGTCTCTGGAAGCTTTCGGTCCACCATCCTGTTGAAGCTCTGCTCTTTTACTTCACCTGTGGGGAGGAATACCTACCCTAGCCTGTCCACCTGCTGCCTGTTATTAATATATCTTGTTCATCCTCTGCGTCCTGCAGCTTCACTCTCCTGCTTGGTGGTCTCTCCTTGTGGGGGCTCGTGCTCCTGTTCACCTGACGGCCTGTTGCCCAGTGGTCCACTCCATGAGACTATCCTCTGGACACACCTGAGCTTGTCCTCTCTAGGAAGCTATGTAGAGCTGTACCTGGATGGGAGACTGCCTGGAGTCACCCTATGTGAATTTGGTCTGAAAGTAGCAGATCTTACGTCATGCTTCTGGTCACCATCCATCTGGGTTTTTCAAGACACCTGTAAAAAGTCTCTGTCACCCCTTGGTGATCCAGAGGTGACACACAGTCCTCATTTTCCTTTCCTTTTCTTTCTCCTCTATCCACTCACCCCAACCAGTCAGGGCAGAAGGCCGCACACCAAGAGGCGGCATTTGTCAGAGGTTTCTTTCATTAGAGCAGTGGTTCTCAAACATTTTTTGTCATTCCCCACTTAACAGGGTGGGCAAATTTTCAAGCCTGTAGCAAAATGATATAGTGCTATGTTATGTATTTGCAAAACTGTTCAAATAATTGTTTAATCTGTTTGACCTTTGGAAAAAACTTGACCTGTGCACATGAACGGCTTTGAGAGGGTGCAGAGTGAGACTCACAACAACAGGAAGTGTGCGCAGGCAGAACGAGATGACAGGGCTGTCTGCAGCCAGAGATGTAAGTGAGTAAAAGGTCTTATTGTTGACATTTACTAATAATATATGAAATGCTTGGCCTTCTATAATCAATATTGTAATCTGCATTAGCAAATATATTTACAGGATTATTTTAGTATCATATGCATTATAATAGTATCATATGCCTTATAATCTACTTTTGTGTTAACCATTTCATTTGCCTTAAAGAGTGTAGGAGACTTGCAGCTGCCAATAGCAGCTGTAAAGCAATCTCCAGGAAACCACAACAGGAACCAGGGCTTAGCAACGCTCATAGTGACAGGTGTAGACGGGAAGTGAGTGAAGTGAGGGCCTTCTCTAAAACTGTCTGATCTTAGGGCATTCAAAGGTCAGGATGTGTGCTTAGAATCTTACAGATGGAAAACTGCCTGGTGACAAGATCATCAAATGAGGGGTCAGAACGAGGTCAACCAACCAACCAAGGAGCGAGGATGAAGGACAACGCGGAGGACGTCAGATCTACCATCAGATCTATATTTGAAAAACTGTATAATTGGACTGGGTTCAGGAGTCTAGGCGTTCCCCTGCTCTGAAGGCAGTTGGAACAGTTTTGCTGTTGTTTGGTAGGGATTCAGAGAGATGGAACCCAGATCTCTGTAAATTGCTTTCCTTGAATATTTTTCTGAAATATTGATTGTAATAAATATCTTAAAAGACAGATTTGTCTTTGACCATTCTTCATCAAGAACACGCAGGACTGGTTTCAGTCCATCAAGCCCCACTTACCAAAAAAATGATAACCAAATTGGCCAATTTTAAAATATCAAATTTATTGAAATATCAAATAACACCAAGTTCAAAACAGATAAAATATAAGTGCAACTGTATCGTTTGACAGGGGGATAGTTTTCAGTTTTGCAGCACTTGTCTCATCCAGCATAATCAACACCATGTCTACAGTTACAGGGAGAATGAGCTGCTGAGCAACGGTGTGTGATTTTTGCACTGTGCAATTCTGTATGCAACTTTGAATAAAGCCATTTTTCCTTTGCTGTTCACTGATGCTGATTTTACCATGCGATTTTCCATGGGTCCCTCCTCTGCCCCCACCATTCCCATCGTGAATCCAAGCACAAGATAGGCTTCATCATATTTTCTTTTTGGCTGGCTTTTTGGTTGATAAGATTACTGCCTGTCGTTTCTTTGTCTGCTTGTGCTGAATCGCCAGCTTTTTTGTGGTCCATGTAACAAATTTATCCATTTACATTATTATACCTACTACGTACAATATTGGCCCTCTATGTGAAAGTTTCCTTATATTGTTGAGCTGCAGTTAACATGTCGACAGTAAACAGGCCAACAGTAAACCGTTATTGTTGCACTATGGTTCCACTTTTTCCCCCGGGCTCCGAACTGATGTTATTTTAATTTACTTGTATTAATGACCCATTTCTAATTTTCTCCATTCATTGCGCCCCACCTGTCATGTCTTTATTCCCCACTAGTGGGGCGCACCCCACACTTTGAGAACCACGGCATTAGAGGGAGTTTTTCCTGAACTGAAATTATCCATGGCCCCTTGACCACTCCTGGCCTCGAAGCAGCTCTGCCCCATTCCTATAAATCCCCCCCCCAAATCAAACTTTTACGCTGTCTGTTTGGTTGTGCATTTGGATCCTTCTCCAATTGAAATCAGACAATCATGTTTACTTATGGACAAAATGTGTATCTACAATAAGAGAACAGTTTTATTATGACTAGAGCTTTCAGTAATTTTGCAATTTGAACCTGAATTTCTGGTTTTTG